CGCCGGATAAGACAATCGTGCGATGTTATCGTAAACGTATTGAAATAGATTTAAAGAAGGCAAAGGTAACGAGCAATTATTTTTTGTGACCGTCACAATGCCGGGTTGCAATTTTTAATCATTTTCCAAAATTATTTCATTTAAAATATATGATCTCCATTTCAAATTAGTAGTGGCTTGCCCCTCTACATCATACTTTTCCTGTTAGATGATTGGCATGAATTTGCGATTCAGTGGATATATATTGACTTAATTAAAATTTATATTGTATAATGTTGTATAAGGAATGTGATCATTTTATAAATATTTTGTCGGGATTAGGATCAACTTCGTTTAAGCAATGTAAATAAAGATCGTATCCTACATATCGAACTTGGTCGGTTAACTAGTCTAAAAGATTTACATTCGCGCAATGCCTCGGGGTAAGTGACCCATTCTGTACAAGTGTAGATTAAAGTGAAGTTAAGCATGACATTAAGAGCTGGTTGCATGAGTTCTAATGAAATGATTTAATTACACCAACAGTTTCACCAGTTTAGGAAATTTTAAAATAAGTTTTTTGGGGGATAAATGAAAAAGAAATAAAGTGCTAGATCGAGGGAATACATGAGTCCTTTTTTAATATTTGACTCCGTCCTGAGGCACTAACAACCAAGAGGGCCTTTTAAATCATACCCATCATAGATTTGGCCAGGTTCAAAATATGGACGATCGGGTAGTGAGGGGCGGAGGATACCATCCCGGAAAAATTCCTGGGTTTTTTTTTTTTCGATTGTCCGGATTCAATCCCGTGTCACCAGAGAGATAAGCTGTCCCCTCAACCATCTTGGCCATCTGGAGTCAGAATAGTATGGTTGTGAAAGAATATCGGTTCCAGTTTTCACCAGATAATGATTATAACGGGTCTGAAGCAGTGGCGTAGTCATAAATAAGTTAAAATATGCCAGGGCGCTAACAGATGTCCTGAGTTTGAGTCAACTGTCTATGGAATTCTGTACGGACAAAGTGCAACTTAGTTGTGCAATATCTGCAAAACGGCTTAGATGTGCCGAAAATGATCTACACGTAATCAGCGGGAAAAGGCTAAGGAAATTATTTCTTGCAGTTTTTAGTCTAATGTCCAATGTGTTCACAAAGTACAAGGTCTTTGCCCTGCTTAAAAAAGTACCAGGACACACTGCCTTGGTACGACTACAGTGCTGGCGTTATCATAATGGCGACAGAGAAATTAAATACTGTATTTTACATAATATAAGAGTCATTTCCATTTTGGCATAGAACATTTTAATAAAAAGTATTTAGTATATTTAATTTAAAAGCCACCCTGCCTCTTTGACACTTGGCCTCAAATTATTTTTGCTATATGCTAGTTTAAAAAAAAAAATTACATTAGAATGCCAGCCTTCTTTTAAACTCTCAGTTGTAAATGACTTATTTACCAGACAAATTTACCATTAAAATATTCTACATGGATACATGAAAAAGCCACTTAGCTTTTGCATGTATTCATGTACTGTACTTGAAGCCTAATTGGTGAATGGGTATCTTGCTTGAAAGTTTTTCAAGAACTGACACTCCAAAAATCACAATCAGTATATCTTCTACAGAAGAAAGGAAAAGAATAAAGATGTTCAAATCTTTCGTATTGTCACGCAACATCGTCACACCCTAGTATAGGAGTGGGCAATTATTTTTTTCCAAAGAGCCACAAGACAAATCTGAGTTGTTAGAGGGCCGAACAAACAATAACCCAAACTTAATTTAACAATATTCAATATTAATTTTCAACTGTAGAGCAGTAAATTGTATAATTTTGATTGTGCTACTGGTAATCAAAAGACTATTGTAATAGAATATCCTGAAAGATATAAAATTGTGGAATAAATCAAAAATACAAGTCATAAACAGGAAAACAATAATTATATCAGTGTTTCATTTTTCAACACATAACTCGGAAATACTGAATAACTGTTTTTCAAATGTAAGCAATTAAAAACTTTTTATACTCGCAGCCCACCAAATATTTCATAATTTTCGAAAATTATCAACCTTGGAACTTTCAGTAGTATTTTCTTCACTATATTTTCTTTTTGAAGGTCCTGGTCCGTGATTACTTACATTAAAAAATTTTCTAATGTTCCTTTCTGTTTTCTTGCTCATTTTTATGGGTTAATTATAAATAATTAAAACTAAACACACATTATAAGAAAGAAATGCACTATTATTCGATCCAAAGTTGATGCTAAAACTAAACTAAAACACCCACCTGTAAAGATTTTGCATATCTTTTGCAAAAACATTTAAATTTTGAAAGCCTACTACTAAGCCTACTATTTTTCCTAATTATTTTTAAAATTCCAAGCATTAATAGTTTCTTACAATTACTTTGGAATGAAAGACGTAAATACTGTGGTGTTAAGTAGCCTATTTGCATTTATTTCTTCTGTACTAACAAAGTTGTATGTAGGAAGAAATGAGATAAAAAAAAAAAACTAAATATGAAAACTTTCTTATTTCATTTTTCAATACAATATTTGGTTATACATCAGCTTTCTTTTAATTATATTCTGAAGGAAATTTTGCATAATTTGACAGCCCCTGGCAAACTTCTTATGGACCCCAGGGGTCTGCGGTTTCCTGTTAAGAAACTCTGATATAGCGCATGTGATGCTACAACTTTGTTAATTGATGTGTGGCTATTCTGTTTTTTTCCCAATAAAAATTGTACAGGAGTGCATTGCACATTATGGAAAAAGCTTCCAGCTATGATTAAACATGGAATCAGTGTTCAAGGTAGCACTGGTTGCAAAAAACTGACCAAAATTTGGCCAGGTGGTGATGTTGCATGATGCATTAGACAAATAATAATGGAATTTGAGGCCCCCTTGGATTAAGAAAAGAACACAGACAAAAGGGAACATGTGCTTCAATGTATGGGCACCTCCCCAGTATGAACACACAATCATTGGTTTAAATCTTGTTCAAAGCCAGAGAACAACAGTTAGATTTTTACTTTCTGGATTGCTGTGATCTTTGTATGTTCATGAATCAGAGCTTTGCATGTATGCTACCTTTGAGTTACTGAACATACAGTGAGATCTGTTGGGATCAGTTCTCAGGAAACTAATGTTTTTATTTATTTTATAATTGGTCTAAATATCATTTGCTTTCTTCCAACAATGTGTTGTGAAGTTATTTCAAGTGTTTTGCAAGATGAATTAAAAAAATTAAAATTGTAAAGAAATAACATGTTTGATAACAAAATGTACAAAATTTATTTCAGAGGTTTGTGTCAGTCAGTTATTGAAGAGTCTCCATAACTGATCTGTTGGGCAGCTCTAATATTTAATAATAGTGTCCTTGTATTGCTCAAATGTATGGCAAAGATTGGGAACCACTGATATAGATGGTTATGAAAACATGTAGACATGTTTTTGTGACATGTATTTTGTATTATGATTTCCTCATTAATTTTATCAACAAAATATAGGATATTGTCTAGAAACTTAAAATAATAAGAATAAATGCAAATAATTATGTACATTTAAACATTACTGTTTTAATTTGATAAATAATGTTGTTAACATATTTCTTAATATTCTTTTAATATAATACAGCTTATTTTTAATGTAACATTAGAAATGCTTTACTATTGTAACTATTGTTTTGTAAGCAAATAACTTATTATATTTCTGAGTGAAGATTAAAATACACAATTAGTATATTTTAGTTCATTTGAATATTTGTATTAATAAAAAAAAACACTTATAATCAAAATATATTGAATTTTTTTGTAATACAGGTAGGAATAAAGAAAAAATAATAATAACTAAATATGTCCATACTTTGAAAATGATGCTTTCAGGATTGGTAACAAAGATTTTGACCATAAAATAATCATTGTAACTATATGTAGGCCTACTAGTGGCCAAGTGGTTCTCTTCCCTAAACACTGGAAGTTTGGTTGAGTTTGCGCGTCACCAGGACGGGCTGGCCATGTAAAGTTTTCTGGTTTTCTCCATGTCTGTAATGCCCAAATAGGGGCCAGTTACCCTTAAAAAGACCTCCCAGAAGGCATCCCCATAGGCAAATTGCCCAAGTGTTACATTGCCATAACTTAACAAAACAAACAAACTATATGTTGAAAAATGAATTTACATAATGTGAATTTGAACACGTAATTAATTCTTCAGCAGCAATCATATTTTATTGATGGTTATAGAAATTTACATTTAAACTTCAAGCTGATTAATTAGTGGTATAAATCCTCTTTAATCATTTTGAAGGTTTTATTATTTTGACAGTTTGTAGACAACAAATGACTGCCAAACTTATATATAATCAATTAATGCAAACAAACTCGGCAACCATTTAAATATATTAATAATTGTTAATATCTGTCTGTGAACTCGGTATCCATTCTTTTTGTATAATGACAAAAGAATCTATGTTTATTCCTTTACCCAATAAAAATCATCTTCTCTATGGTTAAAAATAAAAAATAATGTTTCAGTTAATCTTATTGTTTATAAAAACTAATACAGCAATAACAAATGCATTTTGAATGTTTTAATTTTTCTTTACTTCTATTTACTATATTAAAGAATTACACATAATTAGAAGTGGATAAAACTCAAATATTTTTACTTGTAACAAAGGCAAAATGATGTGAAATTTTAAGCATCAATTTTTCAAAATTGTCATTTTTATAATTTATTGAAACAAATTCAAAGAACAGATTTTAAATAGTAATATGAAAATTATCATTATGGCTAAGGTATTCATAACATATAATATTGAATATAGATTTTTTTTTTTAATAATAATAACAATAGTAATATACTTTAAAGAGTTAATTTCAACTAGAATAAATTTATCATAATCTCAACAGCTTATACTGAACGATTTTAAGTTCACTGTAACGTTTCAACTAAATAACATAATTATCTTTCTATATGTTTAAAAAATGTAATTATGTAATAAAAATAAATACAACAACATCACCAATGAAACAATATTTAATTTTGTTTTGCTCAAGAAGATGAAGCTAAGTTTCACAGAAATTTCAATATCTACGAAAAAATGTCACATTTCAGATGTTCCGTGATATATCACACCAACAACTGTTGAGTCTAAGGTAATATTAAAATACAAAATTTTACAGATTACATACATCACAAGATTGTAGACAATCCAGATGACTGCCCAAACTGATGTATAATCAATTGATGCAAACTAACTTGGCAGCCACTTAAATATGCATTGTTAATATCTGTCTGTGAACTGAGTTTCCATTCTTTTGTCTAATGGCAAAAAGAGCCCACGTCCATTCCTCTACCAGATAAAATATGCTTATACCTCTTTGACCTGTTAGAGTATGCACTCTTTACAAATATCACTTTGCCATCAGAACAGAGGAAGAGGAGGGGGTGTAGCACCAAACGTTACCCAATCTTTCCAGAATGTTGACTTGGTGGCACTTTTCAGAAAATTACAGCAACAATTTGGGACAGTCAAAATTCAAACCATCATTTTAAATAGTTGCACAACGCATATTAGAATACAATCATGCTGATCACCAAAAAGATGAAGAGAGATATAAGGTCATAAACCCCACCCTAGTAAGAATCCCTGAATTTTTTTTAAGGATCATAACACATATACAACAACATTTCTATCTTGTCATCCTCCTTTTGCAAGATACTAGATAAAACATTTACAACCATTGCACAACCTTATTTGACCGATATAACAACAGCCCATATGGTATTGTAAACTATTTTGTTAGATCAAAATTGATCTCTTATAGGACCATAAAGGCAGGAAAAGGAATGCAACACTAAACTTCCTTTCTTCTTTCTCTCTCTCCATGATATACAATCACAGTGTTTAAAATAATTACACTTCAATGGAGGGAGTATAGGCAAGCATATATAATTAGGAAATTGCTACATATTTACAAATAAATAAATAAAAAATCTATTTGAATAAAATCTATAAATCTTATAAATAAATTTTTTTTTATGAATTTCCCCTATATTATAAATCAATCTCCTGTGCTATTAACTGAATGATTTCATACCAAAATGCCATTTTTCTGGAATCTGTTTTAAACTTAAGTATAAATGACTAGAAATATGGATTTATTATAAAGCATATCATTATGATATCATGGATACAAGTCCACATCTTTATTTTTTTATATACTATAGTCAATTGACAATATCACAATATTTCAATGAACTTGGAGGAAATTTGTACTGCTCTTAGCAAATATGTAATTGTCGTCAGGCAAAATGGCAAAAATTTGAAGCAATGAAAAAAGAACATTGTTGAACTATTTTAAAGTCATACCAAATTGCATGACATCAGGAACAAAGCATGCACTATATGTGCTAAGATCGGTCATCCCCAGTTATTCTAGCTGCCTATTTCACTGACCGGCCGTCCAAATAAAACAAATGTCCTTTCCGTGACATGCAGCAATTCAATTGAATGTTGCAGCATTGGTGGCAAACAGATAGAATTTGCACTAATCCTACAGAAATTGAATATACATTCCACAGCCTGCAAGATGTCCCCTTGAATAGAATATATAGCTATATATATTTTTTGTCTTGCAATCTACTTCTTGCCAAGAAACAAAGCTTGTTACAAGATTTATATCCCAATTGGAAAATTTCTGAGAACACATTTAGAAGATGAGAAAAAATTGCAAGTCGGAGGTTCCACCACCGATTCCATAAATTATTATTATTTTTTTTATTTTTTTCTTTTTTTTGCTTAATGTAAAAATCTGAGTATTGATAATGTGAAATACGTTGTCATTTCTAAATCACCATCTGAAGGATTTCATCTCATACTTCATAAGGGAAAAAGGATAAGACTGCCACCATGTATGAAATCAACTATAGACAAAGAATGTTGAAGGAAGGCAGATTAAATGGATCAATGTGATGGGAAGAGATTGCAAATTTTTTGATCTCTCTGTTTGGCTGATTCCACCGTGGTGGTTCAGACTTAGTAGCTATTAAAATCAATCCGTTCATCTTGCCTCAAGTTGCTACAGCCACTGATGACTGATATGTAGCCGAAGCAAATGTGAACCATTTCGTCTGCTTTAATTGCAATCATTGGGACTTATTGTATTACTGAGCAGGTAAGATCATTACATAATGCAAGCTCACAATGCCATTTTCAAAATACTTTTATGTTTTAGTTTTTAGATATTTTTGATGCAGACTGAAGATGAGTGATCTTTTATCAGCTGTGACAGCCAGCCATAAATACTGATGGGTGACTGACCATCTGACAATCTGCTCTCTTCTTACTTGTGAGCAGCAATAAAATGAGATGAAATAGAGCCTGATCGATGGAAATGAACATTTTGCCACTTTCCATCCTTCTTATACCAGACTCGAGTTTCTTCAGACTGTTGAGTGTGTGCCAAACCAGATCTGTAAGTAAATGAAAGAATTGAAACAATATTTTTACTCCAAGTTCATAAATGTAAATTATATATTTTAAAATATTGTAAGTAATAAATAATAATTTATTATTTACTTGTCCATGAATTGTGTGAGACGGATATAAGCAATGCACGCTGCATCGTCTCCTAACAAATGGACAGTTGGGTTCAGGATCGTTGTATTTAATGCCTTGTTGTTTTTCCCTAAAACTAAGGGAATAAAAAATAATTTTTTTAGCTCATGTAATGTTTGTTTATTTGGATAATTACAATTTGATTAAATAATGAATTAAAAAATATATGTATTACTAAACTATAATATACAAATTATAGATCACAACACTATACAAAAATTTCTAATAATATTGATAAAATTTATTTTATGATAAAAATGTCATTGATACATTGATCGATTTGTATTAACATATTGGTCAATATCAATATTAAACAAAGTCTAAATGAAAAAAGAAGCAAAATCATCATTAAAATGATATGATAAATAAGACTAGTCAAAATTTAAAAATAAAATAAAATAGTTTAATGACAACTGTAGTAAAAATTTATGAAAATGTGGAAACAATGAAATGCAAAGTAAGACCTTTTCAAATTGAATAAATCTTGACACTATATTATAAGGAATATAAATTAAAAAATGTTGGTTACTTGAAAATTAAGAAAAATGATTTAGGCCTGTCATACATATATTGATACATATTGAATACGTTATTTTTAATATACATGGGTGTACTGGTGTAGAAGTTGATTACTTTATTAACATCACATAGTTCTATATATGTTTTAAAGTAATGAAATTATCATATCTTAGTACAGTGATGTCTAAAAAGTTTTAAAAGTTAAAACATTAAGTTTTCTGTCATTTTTTTATTTCAAAGCATATATTGTTCTGGATATTACTGGCGTATTGAAGTATGATTTGGGAGTTGGTTCATTTCTTCTTATATACAACAAAGTAGTCGTCAACATAACAGTTGTAAAAAATCGTGCTCTGTAGTTTTGGATAATATTGTCAATTTTAATCATGCACAGATCAGCAACTTTTAGACCAATGCAACAAAACTAGGTATTATCCTCATAAAGATGCCATCTAATTGTCTAAAAAAATTGCTATTACAAATAAAGTAATTGTTAACTAAAACAAATTGATAATTTGAATTATCCATTTGTCACAATTTAAACTATTTAATGTATCTATTATAAACTTATGGATGGATGGAGGGGTGCATGTTTTTTATATACAGGCTCAACATTCTCATATCATTATTTATATTGAGTTTTTGTAGGTTTTCTATGAACTGGTCAGAATTTTTAATACTATTAATTGAATTATCAATATATTTAGTTTACAACTTAGATAAATTCCTTAAAAATAAAGTACATAAAATTTAATGTCAACCAGTGGACGGTAAAATTCATTTATTTTGTGGGTTTTTACTCTGATGTTGAACCTGGGAATTCTCCTGTTGTAATCAAGTATATTATTAACTTTGTTTACATTAATATAATTAGTTTCTTTAAATTTTTAAACTATTTTTACTAAACTTTCACATGTTTAAAGTAGAATCTTCGGTTAAAGGATGATATTGAGAAGAAGAGACTAAATTAAATTTAACATTATTATATTTGTCTTTATCCACTATAATGATTTGCTTTGATTTATCAGCAGGGACTACAGTTAAATTATCATCAGTTAAAAATTTTTTTTACTTGTGTAGGTTTACTATGAAATTTAATTTGTTTGATTTTATGATTATAGATCATTATAAAAATATTAATAATGTGTTTAAAATTGGCCCTGACCTATTCCCTCTCATTAGTTTCTATTTTATTTAATATGTCCTCTAAATTTACTATGAAATCTTTAATGGCCCAACAAAAATTAATTATAAAGTTTAAACCTTTCAATTAAAATCTTTTTTAACAAAACTAGGTATTATGCAAGTACTTTCATTTATAACAAACATTTTGTTCCCAGTTTTTCCGTTCATTTATAGTTGGATAATTTAATCTTTTAACTAATTTAATCCATACACTCTTAGAAAATATAATATCATAGTCCACTTCACAAGAATGTTTACCCTTAACTTTTTAGCACCCATACTAAACAATAAAATCAAAAATTTCTTAAACATGCAGTTAACTATGTAGTTTAATTGCATTATAGTTAACTACTATCTATCTCTGACTATATAAACTTTTATTCCTGTTTTTACTTTGAATAGATTATCTCCTTTATTATACTTTACTGCATATATATAGAAATGTAGAATTATAGTTTACACTAAAATGAAATTTCAATGATAAAATTCATATACTAAAGTTTTCACAAAATTGAACACGGGAAAAAGTGATATATATATCCATATTCTAACAGATCAACCATCTCTGTCCAGTAAAAGAATGCTGAGATCTTGTATAGAGTTTTTAGGAGGTTGGAAATACAATAATGATAAATTGATCTTTTTATTAATTATTTTATAGTATAATTCTGATTATGTGACAGTTGAGGCTGATAGGTGCTTGGATTACTGTTAGTGAAAATGCCAGACATTATGTAAACAATGGAAGCAAGAACAAAGCAAATTGCAAACTTATGAAAGTCCAGTGTTCAATTGAAAAAATCATTGTTTTTTTTTTCTTTTCACTTTTCATACTCCTCAAACAATAAAGGTATATCAAAATAAAAGAAATATCCATCAGAAAAGTAAAACATGAGTCATTAATGCAAATGAACAAATTTACACCTATAATATATGATGCACTAATAATCAAAGCAATGAAAATGGATAAAATTTGTATGTATGTGTGTATGCATGTACTCCTGGTCAAACTGTTTTCTACTACCTGTCACTCCAATTTGACACACAATGAATGCAAACATGCCTAGTGTAGAGATTTGAAGGAGTGTACTGATATGAAATAAACAGATTTGAGACATAAATTTCATTAAATAAGATTTTAATGTGGGCATAATATTTATTACCACAAAGGAATCAAGAACATATGTCAAAGACAAGAATATACATCTGGTTTTCACTATATCTGATCACTGTTTTCCCATCACACCTTAAGAAATCATTTTGGCATAGATTTATAAAAGTTCTTTAGCATACCATTGTTAAAAATATTAACAGCCTGACTAATGGAATTAATGAGTTCCTTACAGTTGTTTTACTAGTTAATCTAAGTTGTTGTGTTGAGCACTTCTTTCAGGTCAATGCAGAACATTTATATTGTTGATCTGGAAGTACTGAATAACTTATCTGGATTTTTTACATATTGATGCATTATCCCTCTTTCATATCCATTTTTGTAGCTAAACTGGTACTTAAGCTGGGTGAAAGGCATTCTAAAGAACCTCTAGATATGCACTGCTGTTATACTTTGACAGCCTTAAATTTAAGATTTCCTACTGGTGACCATCCCTAAAATCATAACACTTCCTTCATGCTGTTGATGTTTTATACTTTATGATTGAGTGCATAGTAATCATACCTGAGCACATGAATACAACTTGTTCAGATCACCCAAAGAAAATCGCTTTTCATCTGAAAAACTACCATAATAGCATCAGTACCCTCAGTGAGAGGATTTCACTGAAGGCATTTCTGCTTGTTTTTTGAGATCAGAAGCTTTTAGCTAAATGCTTCTGTTGCAGAATCCCATGGATAGTATGATGGGATATATTCAGACTCAAAGGATTCTTTGAGTAACAACAACTAACTGATTTTATCTGATCACTGCCATTTCTTTCTTTCTGTGATTGCCCATCTCAATTTTGTAGAACAGGTGGTCATCTGAGTTTCTTTTCTGATGTTGACATTATGGATGACAATGATAATGACAGTCTCCAAAAGATGGAAAAAGTGTTTCTAGAAATGTCTGATACTGCTAACACAAGGACTTTAGTTCTGAGTACACTTCATCAGAATGCATTCTTTGCACACAATCCAAGCCATACTATTTCCAAAAATACAATACATAAGGAAAAATGTGATAACACTTGTATGCAAAGTCACTTTCCTTTCAGTGGAGGAACTTCTAACTTTGCTTTTTATAGGAATCTTGCAGAAAGATCCAAAAATTTCAAGAACCTTTTCAAATATAACCAATCTGTCATTAACTGTATCTGAGTCATTTCTGGTTTGGTTGTATAGTTATGCTTCAGCAACTATAACTTCTCAGTAGTGTCCAATATTGTATCCAGAAGTGTACTGTACAGAAGTGCAATTGATATAATTACAAGGGTGGTTTTTTCAAACTTTGATAGTCCATAAATCAAGGACAAGTGTAAATAACAAAATGAATTTATTACCAAAAGTTAGGTACAAACATGGTTACTTTTTGACATAATCACTGTGAAGATTGAGGCATTTGTCATATCTGTGGACGAACTTTTCCATCCTCTTGTCATAGAATGTTGCCACCAATGACTTGAGATGGGCCCTAATGTTGTTTTGAAGATCATCATTAATCTCAAACCTCTGCCTTGCTAATCACTTTCTGTTCAGGAAAGAGGTGGAAGTTGCTTGGCGCTAAATCGGGGCTATACACTGAGTGTTTAAAGGTGATGAAGACTTCCACCCAGTTTAAAACTTTTTAATGTGTGAAGATTTCCACTTCTTTCCTGAACTGAAAATGTGGCTAGGAGGGCAGAGGTTTGAGACTAATGACGATCTTCAAAACAACATTAGGGTCCATCTCAAGTCATTGGTGGCAACATTCTATGACAAGGAGATGGAAAAGCTCGTCCACAGATATGACAAATACCTCAATCTTCACAGTGATTATGTCAAAAAGTAACCATGTTTGTACCTAACTTTTGGTAATAAATTCATTTTGTTATTTACACTTGTCCTTGTTTTATGGACCATCAAAGCTTGAAAAAAAAAAACCTACATAGAATAGTTAACCCCTCTGTACATCGAAAACCTCTCAATCCCTATTTTCTTACATTTAAATGGACACCGATTATATTTTTGGATTCGTCATCACAATTAATAGAAAATGGCAAAGTTTTATCAAAATTGGCATTAAATTTTGAGAATGAACTCAACTCTAGCAAAGTGCATAGAAGACATGCTAGTGACCACGAAATATCGCATGACAATGTCGCGCAATTTATGCGATATTGCATTGTCACATGTGCTTATGAAATGACCTTATATCTCAAAAATGAAATCATGGATCCT